GTGCTGTTCCGGTGCGGGCCGGGGATGGGGATGGGGATGGGGATGGGGAGGGGGGACCGGTACCGGGGATGGAGCGGGGATGGGGGACTCGCTGCCGCTCCTTCTCCTCGCTGCCCATCCATCCTTCCCCTCGCCTCCTCCTGGCAGGACCCCGCTCCCCCTGGGCTTTGGAGCAAGGTCGGGAGGCAAATAACCCTTCTCCTTCTCTTTGCAGCGATATCAGCCCCTTGCTGAAGGATCCCGCGGCTTTTGGGACTTTGATTGATCTTCTGGAAGATCATCTGAGGGCGTCTTTCCCCAAAATCGACTTCGTCGCAGGTGAGCGGTTGTGGTTGGACTCGATGATCTCAAAGGTCCCTTCCAACCATGAATGTTCTGGGAGTGTTGGTTGGAACATCTCTGAGGCCGGGGCAGAGCTCTGTGTCCCCAGGCTTCTCCAGGTGGGAGGCGTTGGGGGGCTCCTCTGCTAACGAGGCAGGAAGGGCTGTAGCCCTTGGATGTTGTAATCACCCAAATGTTGGCCTCAATTGTATGGTAAGACCAGGACAGGTTATACCCTTAACTTACTACTGCAGTTTCCTGAAATACTGGGTTTGGATGTGGCAGGCTCCATCTGATACTTCAGTGCCAATTTCATAATTCATTACTTTCATCGTGTAAAAGTCAGGAAGTGCTGGAAAGTACTGAAAGATGGTCAGACTGAAAGTCTGACCTAAAGCCTTGTAGACATGCCTCGAAGGTCTCACACAGTCCCCACGGCAGGCAGACCCTGTTCCTGCACGTTTTCCTTCTCAAGGGGCCTTTTCAAGTCAACAGAAATAGTCTTTGTGGTGATAACATGTTGCAACTCGGCTACGAAAGGGGCTGAGAATGGAAGTGCTTAGAAAAGCAGTGCTTGGGCTGGGCGATAGCCCAAAGTTCAAGGAGTCTAGACCAAACCTGGTCCAAGTGCCTCGTGATAACTGAAGTCTGTCCCCCCGGGGGTGCAAAGTCCCTGGCTGTGTGGCCGAACTGATACTGGAGCTCAGCTGGGCTTATCTCTGAGAAGAAGAGCTAGAAGAGAGGAAAATGGGCTGATGATGGGTGGATGCACGTCAGTCAGCAGTACATCTTGGCCAACACAGGCAGTGTGGGAGTGTGGGGGGTGCATTTTCAACCCATAGAAGTGACCCTAAGAGCAAATTGCTTCCAGAGACTCACCCCTGAATATGGGAGGATAAACCTGGGGTACCATGCAAAACCACCCCCGGTTAAATAACTCGTTTCTGTGATGCTCTGCTCCCCCCCCCAGGCCTGGACTCCCGCGGCTTCCTCATAGGCCCCCCCTTGGCTCAGAGACTGGGGGTCGGCTTCGTGCCGATACGGAAGAAGGGGAAGCTTCCTGGTCCAACCGAGTCGGTCTCCTACGCCCTTGAGTATGGCCAGGTAATTCCTGGGGAGAAGAGGGTTTCCAGGCTGGTTGATGGGAGGGCTGGGGGATGGTGTGAGCGAGGGGACGGGGTGATAAAACCAGTGAGGTGGTCCCCAAGCTGGGTTTTGCAGCCAGCGCTGATGCCATGGGCAGCACAAGCTTCAGGAGCCATGCTGAGCTTCCCCCCAAGCCTGGGGTGATACACAGGGTTTGTGTCAGTGAGCTGCGCCGTGATTTTATTTTTTTGGTGGTGGTGGGGTGATAACAACTTGATGCTAAATCGCTTTCTTTGGCTTGAATTCAGGGACATGAACATGGAGTGTGTTTCCCACTCTTCCAGTAAGTGCTATAAGTAAATGCCTTCATTGCATGGCTTCAGAACAGAGCGCTCACCTCGTAACACCGCAGCCTCCCTGATTAAAGAGCAGAGGTGTACGCCTAATAACACGCTACCGCTGGTAACTAACGGCACCCAGGGAACACCAAACCCTAGGAATTACGTGTGAGGATTGGTTGGGCCAACCCCTGCATGGGACAAGTTCATCTGACACAGGACGTGCCTGTGGTGGTTTGGATCTGGCTTGGTGGTGTTGTCAAAGCAGAGTGTTCCAGCCCAGTGCAATACAGGAGATTTTCCCTGCCAGAGAGCTGCTCCAGGATAAGGTTTTACGATAGGACCACAACTCACTTGATGAATGTTCAGGAGCTTGACATGCCAGAGGGTTGGCCCAGCAGTCACCTAACCCACTCTATATTTTCGTGGCACTCCCCTGTAGCTGGAATATGTGGTTTTTTAGGGTTTTAGGTGCTGAGTGCTAAGGTTGATCTCGCTGAAGATTTGTCTGCATTCCACCATGAGTTAGCAGTTTGTGAAGCCCTTCTCTGTAAGGCAAGACTAAATGAAGCTACTCTTTCCACCCTGCAGGCTGAACTTGAAATCCAGAGGGACGCCGTGGAACCAGGACAAAAAGTAGTTATTGTAGATGACTTGCTTGCAACTGGAGGTGAGAGAAGCAGATGGTGTCCAGTTCTGGGCTCCCCAGTTCAAGAGGGACAGGGAACTACTGGAAAGAGTCCAGCGTAGGGCTACAAAGATGATTCAAGGATTGGACCATCTCCCTTATGAGGAGAGGCTGAAAAAGCTGGGACTCTTTAGTCTGGGAAAGAGAAGGCTGAGGGAAGACCTTATTAATGCTTACAAGTATCTCAAGGGCGGGCTGAGGGAGGAGGGAACCAGACTCTTTTCAGTAGTTGCCAGTGAGAGGACAAGGGGCAACGGGCACAAGTTGGAACATAAAGGGTTCCACTTGAATATGAGGAAGAACTTTTTCACGGTGAGGGTGACAGAGCCCTGGAACAGGCTGCCCAGGGAGGTTGTGGAGTCCCCTTCTTTGGAGATTTTCAAGACCCACCTGGATGCTGTCCTAAGTAACATGCTCTGACAAGCTCTGGGTGGTCCTGCTTTGGCAGGGGAGTTGGACTAGATGATCTCTATGGTCCCTTCCAACTCTAAAAAAAAATTCAGTGAAATTCAGTGTCACAGCATGTGTAACCCACGTCTGTGTGCGTTGGTGACTGCTCCTCGAGTGACCATGTTTCTGCTCAACCTCTGTCCTGCAGGTACCATGTGTGCCGCCTGCGAGCTGATGAAGAGGCTGAAGGCTGAAGTCCTGGAGTGCCTGGTGATCATAGAGTTAAAGCTCCTGAAAGGGTCCGAAAAGCTCGAGTCCATCCCTTTCTACTCTCTGCTGCAGTATGACTGAGGAGGAGCTGGGAGAAGGGAATGCAGACCATGAGCTGTGCACGAGGTTGAGCTTTATTCAGTGACTCTTTCTTGATGTCACGAGGGGGTGGGCAAGGGGTGAACCTACAATTTTGAATCTGGCCAAATGCTATACAATCATAAGTCTTATTTATTTTCCAAGCCACAGATTTAGCTGTGTTGAGTGTAAGGATCCTTTTTGGAATTCATCCTTTTGGGAAGAAGGAACAGCCTGATTGTTTTGGGGGAGGGAGATCAAGATGCATCTTCAGTGAATTATTATTTTTTTTAGGAGACCAAAGTGAAAATACTCCTGCTGAGGCAGGAGATGTCTGATAGCTTTGGGGGCCCAGCATTCCCCTTCAGTTGAGCCATGCCTGGTCAGCCTCCTAGGAACCCGTTAAAAGTTTGCCAAAGAAACAGATGGTGGGCACAAAGTGGTTATTTGAGGGATAAACTCCTGTGTGTTTGACCACAGTGGATGGTCTGGTTGCTCTCAGCTGTTGCTCACACCAGAATAGGCTGCTCTTACATTAAGGCAGTGCTTGCTAAGGAGAATTAAGTGCCTGCCCAGCCCTGTGTCCTGAAATCCGGAGGCAGCTACTGCCAACTCAATGGAGGTTGCTGGTGTAGATGAGCTCAAACACCATGTCTGCTCGCAGCTTGGCTTGTGCTCCCCTTACCTTGGGAAGGCAAGAAGTTGAAGGTCTCTGCTGGTGGAAGCCACCTGCCTTCCCTTGTTCCAGGGTAGTTTTTAGCAGTGGATTTTGCAAAGCTAGGAGTGATCTACATCACAAGAAGTAGCACACAGGTGGGTGACAGGCAGTGAGGAAGGGGGCCATGCACATGCTCAGGGCTCTTTGCCTGCCTTTTGCCCAGCAGTGCTGGCACCTACCAAAGCCCACAGCTGCAGCTGGGACTGGCAGCTTTTCTGTGGCTCAATTTCCCCATCAGCAACAGAGCTGACTCCCTTTGCCATATTCTTGGGGCATCAGGGCATTGAAAGGTTTGGAGGCCATTCTTGTTGGTCTGTTTGGTGTCAGATGAGGCCATAGGAAAGAAAGAAAAGGCATTAACGCTTGCAGCCGAGCTTCAGCGGTCTCAATGGCGTTGTGTGATAGATGAAGTGGGGTTTGGAGATGTTCACTACAGCATGGTTCACTTTGGTCACAGGATCAGCTAAGGCCCAGCGTGCCAAAACTTCCACATGCCTGAAAACATAAGGGACTGTGTCCCTGTCTCAGCAGGGGCTGAACTAACTGGTAAAATAAATGTTGACTTATTTTTATTTTTTCTAAACTGTCTCAGAGTTGTTCTTGCAGTAGCTGATGCTGTTAATTATCCCCGTGAGTGTCTTCCTTCCAAACCAGGCTGTCAGTGAAGAGCGAGGCCGTGGTGTGAGCTCCCCCTTAACCACCCCAAATGCATGGAAGGAAGGTTTGCCAGGACTGAGCAGTTCAGGTATCTTTTCCCTGTGCCTGGCACCGGTCTCTGGCAGGAGGGAGGGGGTTACCCAGGCTGGTCCTGCTGGGTGGCACTGGAAGTACCCAGTGCCGGGTGGGATCATGGACAAAACCCCCTACAGCTCAGCTCACCTTCCCCATCCAGCACTCAGGGATCCCCCACGCCCTGCCTTTACATTTGTAAAGGCTATTACGGCTATTTTTAACGCTGTTTCCTGAAAAGCCACTTCAGTGGCTGCTCAGTTTGCACCGAGAAACACCGTTCCCCCGGGAGAAACCTACCCCAGGGCACTTGTTTTCGCAGCCAGCCCCTGTGCGCAGCCAAGGGAGGCAGCGCCTTGCACACATACTTGGCACAAGGAGAGGGTCCCTGCTGCGAGGTAGAGAAGGGAAAAATTAGTTCCACCCCGAAGAGCCGTGGAAAGCAGCTGCGGGCTGTGGAAGCGAGCGTAAGGCCTGCCGGTGCCAGAGCTGGCTGCGTGCGGGGCCAAGGGGTGACATCAGGGAACGTGGGGACGGTGCCTTCACGAGCAACCATTGATGTAATTGCTTGTAGGGACAGGGCTGTGCAGGGGTGGCTTCCAGGCGGGAGAAAGGTTGGGTTTTTTTTGTCCCAAGCAGCAGAACGGGAGCTCGCTGCGAGCTCCCCTGGGGCAGACGTGTGCCTGCCAGGCTGCCAAAACCAGCTCCTCTCCACTGCAGCGAGGTCTGATGGGCACGGCCGACAGCCCAGCCTCGCACCCCTTCCCCGAGTATCCCCCTTCAGCCTCCGGGCTGGATTTAAATCCTCCTCCCTGGAAACAGGGCTACCTCCTGCCAGCAGCGCTGGCCAACTGGCCTGCAAGATGGTGAGCAGGGTCCTGGAGGAGGAAGAGGGGGCCTGCCCGCACCCGGAGGGATGAAGGACAATCACTGTTCTAAGTCCTTGCTGTCCCATGCTAAAACCAGCACAGTTTGGCTCAGAATGTGGTGCAAGGTGTGCCCGAGGGGGCAGGGGCAGCTCCTACCCCCTCCCTTGCACCCACAATGGGCCAGGCCAGCACCTCCCCAACCATCAGCACCTTCTTTGTCCCTCTTCCCAAACCACTTCAGCCAAGTGCCCTGGGCTTTCCCCTGGGGAAAAAGTCCCCCCTCCCTGCACCCACCCTCACCCGTGGCTGCTCCTGGCCCCACGGGAGCTGCTCCAGTCACTATTTACAAGAGCTGCATTCAGTTCCCTGCAAACCCAACGCTCACTTTTTCCAGTAAGTCTTTCTCCAGGAGCTGGATGATGACCCAGCCCTTCCCTGCGTGTGCCGGCCGGCGCCAATTGCCATGGAGAACCAGGGACAGGCAGCTCACGGAGGAAGAGCGCTGGGTTAACTCAAGTCAGCTATATTTAAAACATTTAATACAAATATGTTTTGACAAGTCCTGTAGTTGTTTCCAGCGAGCGCTGGAGATGCTTTTTCCCCTCTCTCTTAAAAACAGAACAAGGCCCAGAACTCCAAAACCATTAGTTTGTGACTTTTTCTCTCACTCCTTCCTGCCTGTTACCCTGCCCGGTCCTTCCTCCGCCCCAGCAGGACCCAGTTAATGGAAGAAGCCTCCTGTGTCAAACCTTCAGGAGGACGCAGCAAGCCAAGAGGAGGTTATCAACTCCTCACCGCTTGCATCGTCACCCCAAGATGCAGGGATGCTTGAGGGTTAGGGACCCTGGCAGAGGAGTGAGTTAGAGCAAAATGCCTTAATTTAACTTTCTCAAACATCCCTGAGGATGAGCCTCCCATAAGTCCATATCAGATCCCGGAGGGCAGTCAGGATTTGCTACATTTAAAGGAGATTGCACGGGGGAAACCTCGACCCTTGGGGGTTCTTAGAGGGCTTCTGCCTCCTTCGCTGCCTTGGTGAGCCTCTCTGTGATGAGGCCGAGGTCCTTCCCTTTGTCCAGTTTGATGTAGGTGTCTGTTCTGATGGCGTGGATCCCCACCCAGTCGGGCAGCAGCTCCGCGAAGAGGCGCAAGTGTTTCTCCATCTCCCCTGTGAAAAGGAGCAGCAGCCACTGGTCAGAGCTCAGCTCATCAGCCCCTTCCTCCTCCAAAGACCGCAAAGACCCTCTGGAGCCAGCAAGAAGACACACACCCCCCCCAGCTTTCCTACCAGGAGACATCTGTGTGTTGTAGCTCTCGGCCATGCGGGCACAAGCCACCTCCATGGTTAGCGCCTGCTTCTTCTCGGCCACGAAGACGTTGCGCAGGATGCGGGCCATGGCCGGCAGCCGCCCCAGCATGGCGAGCCGCTCCTCCTGCCGCGGGTCCCGCGTCATCAGCGCCTGCAGCTTCTGCGCCTCCTTGGCCCGGATCTTGGGGAGCAGAGAAGATGGGGTGAGACACAGGCAGGTTCCGCCCCCCCAATCACCACCACCACCGGCGTTAAGGGCCAGGAGTGAATTACTCACCCTCTCGAGCAGCGCCTGGGACACCCCTTTCAGAGCACTGGAGGTGCTGGCAGGGGACGGTGCTTTGGAAACCACCGGTTCCCCCGCACCGGCTTCAGCGGTTCTTAAGGCCAGGTTGGCAAGAGCTTTTTCCATCTGCTCATGTGGAAGAAGGAGGAGGAGGAGGAGTTGGGTTACAGCTGGGAGCCACTTGCGCTGGAGGAAGAAGTTTCCCCTCCGCCGCCCCCCCCGCAGCCCAGCGCTCCCCCCGCAGCATGTCCTACCCATCCTGCCTGCACGGAGGACAATTTGGGGTGCTTCATCTCCTCTCCCAGGCTCAAAGTCAACACTGGTGGCTCCTCTAGCCTGAAGCCAACCCTACACCACAGCCTGCAACAGCCAGGCTTCCCTTCCCACCTGCCTACATCTTACAGTGCTCCAAGTCCTGTGGCTCCAGGATGAATGGTTAGAATGCTCCAGAATCATAGAATGGTTAGAGTTGGAAGGGACCTTAAAGATCATTGAGTTCCAACCCCCCTGCCATGGGCAGGGACACCTCCCACCAGAGCAGGTTGCTCAAAGCCCCATCCAGCCTGGATGAATGATCCTTCCCAACCCCTATCCAGTAACATCTTCCCAGAGAGACACCCAGTTTGGGGTCACAGATGAAGCCAGCCCCTGGTCTTGACTCACCTTGGGGGTCAACATCCCCCGAGCCGTGCTCAGCACCTCCTGGGCCGTGGTCAGCCTGTCCTCCTGGGGTGGCTGCGGCAGCTCTGCCGGGCTGATGTCCGGCACCTCATCCACGTTGAAGCGGGGATGCCAGCGGGTCAGCTTCTCCTCTGGCACCACCATGGGAGGCCTGAGAGCGGCCAGGAATGCCTGGAGAGGGACGAGAGCTGTGTCACGGCACCTGTGGGCCAGGTATGGGGGAGCCAGCCGTTGCCCTGCGCTCCCAGCATGGTTTGGCAACACACAGCAGCTGGCTTGGAGGAAATTCGGAGCCAGGAGAGATTCCAGCTGCCATCTTCCCCACCCACAGCCGCCTGCCAAGAGCATCCCACAGGGAACAGCAGTGTCCCTCAGCCTGGATGCCAGCCAGCTCCTCCTTCCACCCACTTCTCTAGATGCGGAGGGTGCCACCTCACCTTGTGGTGCTGCTTGACGATGTTCACCAGGTTGCGGTGGAACTCCTTCCTGCGCTCCAGCAAGCGCGATGCCGACAAGTGCGGGCGGCCGTCCACCTTCTCCTCTGTGAGGAGAGACCCGAGCATCACCCACAGCACCTCGGCAAAGCTCAGCAACACTACAACTGGCCCCAAACCTCCAGAGTTTTGGGAGGGACAGGATCAGAGCCCTGCCGCGGGGCTGAGCCACTGCCAGAATCACTGCCCTATCACCCTCCCACTTGTCCCACAAGTGTTTTCCACTTCCACCATGCTCAGACCCTTATGTGTCAAATGATTATCTGACCGAGCTGAGGGTACCCGTGGGGATTGAGGGATCCCAGCCAGGATCCAGCACACCCCAGCTCTTGGTCATCCTCCCCGAGCCGTACATACCTTCCCCCAGCACCGGCTCCAGCGTGAGCTGATAGTCGGACTTCTTCATGCCATTGCCAAAGGTGGGGATGTTCTTCTCCTGGCGCAGCTTGTATGAGGTGGGGTACACCGCCTTGATCTGCCCCATGTGCCGCTCCTCAAACTGCCTGCAACAGCACCCAGAGAGGTCAGGAACCCCCGAGAGCTGACACCAAGGCATTGACCCCCGACGGCTTCAGCTGAGCCCCCAAACTGGGCTGCCCACTGCTACCAACTTACTTGCGCATCATGTCCTGCACCCCCTGCTTGACCTTGGCAAAGGTGATGGTCTCGGCACGGTTGAAGAGCATCCCGGCGATGGTGTCCACGCTGCGGAACATCTCCGCCAGCACCTTGAACTTGTAGGGCAGCGTGAGCCCCGGGGGCAGGTCCTGGGCGAGGGTGTGGAACCGCTGGTAGGCAGGGGACTTCTCACTGCCAGGAAAGGAGAGGAGAGGGGTCAGGGTCCCTCACGACACAACAACCACGGGCTGTGGTGAACGCAGCGCTGGGACAGCCCTGAAGGTGCAGCTTGGGGGTGAGACCCACCAAGATGGGGGTCCCACCACTGACAGGGCTGACCTCAGAGCTTAGGAGCTGCGTGGCCACCCTGCGTGGTTAGGGGACATCCCTCTCCTCCCCTTGTCTCAAAACTCCTCTAAGCAAGCTGTGCCAGCTTGCACCTGGGTCGCATCACCCACCCTTCATGTCCTGGGGACGTGGATGCTCCAATGCTCGTGGTAGAGTCAAAGTGGCTTGGACCACACTCGAGTTTTGCTGCAGAGAAGCCCTCCGCATGCAGCGGGGCCCCCACAACACCCCCCCAGGGCCACCACCATGGGGTGGGAAGACCCCTGCGAAGCCACGGTGGGGCTGAGCAGCAGATCAGGGCTGTGGCAACCACCGGGACACCCCGATTAACCCTCAAAGCTGCTCCTCACCCAGCCTCTGCCACAGGAGCCGTGGACTCGGTGTCCCCAGAGGGCTGTGCTCCCGGTGTGGCTCTGCTTCCCGCTTTCTTCTCCCGGATCCGCAGCTCCAACTGCCGCGCTTGCTCCAGACGGTTCCGCAGGTCGGTGGTGGCCCCGGCGGGGACGGGTGGCAGCTGGGCCAGCTGTGCCAGAGCTTTCACCCTCTCCAGGCGGCACCGCAGCCCGGCCAGGTCCTCCTGGGTGGGAAGGGAGGGGGGCACAGGGTCAGAGCAGGGCTCACACACAAAAAAATAAGGAGCAGAAAGCCATGCTCGTCCCGTACCCGCTCCAAGCGCCTGGTTGTCCCCGGGGGGGCTGTGCTGGGCTGTGTCCCCCCATCCTGTCCATGGCAGGTGGTGCTGGCAGGGGGTTCTGCTGCCAGGTCTGGTGAGGGTGGCGTCGGGGGGCAAGCAGTGGCCGGAGGCGAGGGGCTGGTGTCCTGCAAGAGAGGGGAGGAGCATCAGAGGCTGCT